CGGCCACGAAGTCTGCTAAGATTTGAGACTTGATGGTCGTTTGGGATTGATGCTCGATATCGTACCCGCTGATTTCGATGGCCCATTTTGGACAATCAGACCAAGAGCTCGAGCTTATGCAAAATATTGCGAAGAGGATAAGTGGTCACTACACAAATTGGGTGACATTGAAAATATGGTTTTAGTTTCCTAGAGGTGCTTATTAGGGTAAGCGTCAATTTTTCTAAGTATGGGTACCGGGTCTCGGCCTCACCTAGAGTTCGACTAACATAGTAAATAGGAAATTGAGTACATTGCTCTTCTCGAACTAAGACTCCACTTATTGCAATTTCCGAGACTGCTAAGTACAAGTAGAGTTGCTCATCTGCTTTCGGAGTATGAAGTAGTGGCGGGCTTGAGAGGTACTGCTTTAACTCTGCCAATGCTTGTTGGCATTCCTGGGTCCATGCAAAATTGGTTTTTTTTTAGCAGTGAAAAGAACTTGTGACTTCTATCTGAAGACTTTGAGATGAATCGGCCTAGGGCGGCTATGCGCCCTGTTAATATTTGTACGACCTTAACACTATCCACGAATGTGATGTCTTCGATCGCCTTGATTTTATCGGGGTTGATTGCAATACCCCGATTTGATACCATAAACCCGAGGAACTTGCCCGAGCCGACCCCAAATGCACTCTTCTCCGGGTTGAGTTTCATGTTGTATTTCCTTAGTATATCGAAGGTCTCCTGCAAATGTGTCAAATGGTCCTCTGCTTGCAGGGACTTAACTAGCATATCGTCAATATAAACTTCCATTGACTTACCTATTTGCTCTTCGAACATTCGATCTACTAAGCATTGATAAGTGGCACCAGCATTTTATAGTCCAAACGACATTACATTATAACAATAGGTGCCGTACTTAGTGCTGAACGAAGTCTTTTCTTGATCCTCCGGGTTCATTTGTATTTGATTGTACCCGGAGTAGGCATCGAGAAAACTAAGGATCTCGTGGCCGGTCGTGGCATCGATCATGCGATCGATATTTGGCAGAGGAAAAGAGTCTTTAGGACATGCTTTGTTTAAATCTTTATAATCTATGCACATCCTAAGTTTTATTTTCCCTTTTAGGGACTACGACTGCGTTTGCTAACCATTCAGGATATTTTACCTCCCGAATGAACCCTATTTTGAGAAGTTTGGTTACCTCGTCCTTGATGAATGCATGTTTTACCTTGGGGGTCTTCTCTTTTGTTTTACCGAGCGGAACTTTGGGTCCAAGCTCAGTCGATGTGTAGCAATTTCCGACGGGATCCCTGTCATATCTAAATGGGACCAAGCAAAAAATCCATATAATTGATAAGAAATTTAATGAGTTTTTCCCTGAAATCGGGGGTTAACCCCGTTCCCAGGTATACCTTTCGATCGGGTAGATGCCCGATCAATACGACCTGTTCCAGCTCCTCGACCGTCGATCTGGCGGCGTCGAAATCCTCGGGGATTATGAAGGATCGAGGGATCCAATAGTCATCGCCCTCGTCCGTTCCCTGCTTCTCCGATTGAGTCGAGGTCGGCAACTGTGGTTGCTATTTAGCTTCATGTTTTCCTTTGGACTTCGATCCTTTTGTTGACGAAAGTGTCGATATCGGTATCACTTCGTTAACCGCAAACATCTCTTTGACAACGTGCTATTCACCGTACACCATTTTTACTCCATTCGGTGTTGGGAACTTCAGCATTTGGTGAAGTGTTGAAGGGACTGCCTTCATATTGTGAATCCAGGGTCTTCTGAACAGGGCGTTGTATCTCATATCGCCTTCGATCACATGGAACTTGGTTTCTTGAATAGTCCCAACTATATTTACTGGTAAAATGATTTCTCCTTTAGTAGTTTCGCTTGCCATGTTGAACCATTGAGAACTCGAACTGCGGGCACAATCTGATCTTGTAGGCGAGCTGCTCCACAACCCTCGATCGAATAATATTGGCCGAGCTTCCTGGATCAATTATTACACGTTTAACCTGAATTTTATTCACAAGGATAGAGATTACCAATGCATCATTGTGGGGTTGTGAGATCCCTTCTGCTTCCTCATCGTTGAATGATAAAGTGCCTTCTGGTACATGGTCTCGAGTTCTTTTTCCCCTGGTGATCGATACCTTAGTGCGTTTGAAAATGGGCCCTTGTGGAATATTGATCCCACTAACGATCATGTGAATCGCGTGTTATGGTTCTTCCTGCTCGTTTTTCCTGTCTGCATCTCTGTCTCTAAAATAATTTTTATCTTGGTCGCTCAAGAACTCTCGAAGGTGACCCTCGTTGAATAGACGGGCCACCTCCTCACTTAGTTATCTGCAGTCTTCGGTTATGTGACCATGCGTACCATGGTATTTACATATTTGATTGGGGTTCCTTTGGGATGGATCGGTCTGTAGGGGCCTGGGCCATCTAATATCTTTGATTCTCCCAATGGCTGACACAATACCTGATGCGTCGATGATGAAGTTGTATTCTGATAATCGTGGTGCCTCTGTGGGATCGACACGTTTATCGAAACCATTTTTTCTCATGAGCCCTCGAGAGCTCTGTCCTCGATCGTTCCTTCGATCATTTCGGATGGGATTGCGTCCTGGGCCGCTGTTTCTATGATCTGCATTATATGGTTGATATCGGTCTCTGTTCGACCTAGGTTCTCTATCGATATCTCTCTGAGTTCTTCCAATGGGCCTGATCGGATAAGAGGAACCAGAAGGGGTCCCTAATTGATCATCCTCGACCCTGATCTTCGACTGGTATCGATTATGTACATCGGCCTAGGTCACCGCTGGGTATTCGATTAAATTCTGCTTTAGCTGTAGTGAGGCCACCAAACTCCGATAGTTCAAACCTTGAGTAAAAGCTTGAACAGCCCAATCGTCTGTAACTGGTGGTAGTTCCATGCGTTCCATCTGAAACCGAGATATGAACTCCCTCAACATTTCTTTATCTTTCTGTTTTACCTTGAAGAGGTCCAACTTCCTAGTCACAACCTTTATTGCTCCGGCGTGTGCCTTTACGAAAGAGTCTGCAAGCATGGTGAAGGAATTGATGGAATTAAGTGGCAGATTGTGATACCATATCACTGCCCCCTTCGAGAGAGTTTCTCCAAACTTCTTTAGTAGAACCGATTCGATCTCATCGTCTTCTAAATCATTTCCTTTTATCGCACATGTATAGGAGGTGACATGCTCATTTGGATCGATTGTCCTATTATACTTAGGGATCTTCGGAATGCGAAATTTCTTCGGAATGGGCTTCGGAGCCGCACTTGGGGGGAGCGGCTTCTGCACGAACTTTTTCGAGTCCATACCTTTTAAAATTGGTGGTGCCCCCAGTATTTGGTCAACCCGAGAGTTATATGTCTCTACTTTCTTGTCATTTTCCTCAATTTTCTTTTCTCCCGTTTCAATTCGTTTAGTGAGCTCCTCGAGCATTTTTATAATGACGGGGTCAGTCCCTGATTCATTAGCATTCGACCTTTCCGGCACTGGCTCAGTCCTGTGGACGACTTCTGGTTCTACCCCACTCGGCGCTCGATGTTGATTTTGTAATTGCGCTATAGCAGCTTGTTGAGCCTATAACATTTCAAATATCAACTGGAGGCTGACTCCAACATCTCCTCCACTCTGCGTACCTCGACCACGAGATCGACCTTCCCTGCGTACGCTACCTTCGGGATCAGCGCCCAAATTTGTATTTAGGGCATTATGTGAACTGACGTCGATGGGGTTTGCAATTGGTACTCCCTCGAGATCATCCTGAGGCACCTCGATTCCTGGGGCGGCTATATTGTCGTTCTCTCCGTGAAATTTGAAACCGTTGTCACCATGCGTGGGTGTTGTTTGTGAGTTTGACATATTTTTTTCTAAAAATAAAAACACTTACAAGAACAAGCGTAAAGTAGTGTGTGTTATCGTAATCAGTATTAAGAAATCACTATTATCCTTAGCCCCACGGTAGGCGCCAAACTGTTTACCCTTAAAATTGGATAATAATTAAACTTATAATGTGGGTTTAAGGTTATGTGATTTCACTTAATACCAATTGAAATATATGAAGATTAATGATAGAATTATACAATAAAGTAAATCAAACCATTATTTGAGTATAACTCAACCCTTGAGTTAGAGTATCCTCGAACTGATTGATGCCAGGACAATAAAAACACAATAAGTTGAAGAACAAGAGTGTGAGCGAGAAAGAAAATTATATTGCTTTTTTATCAGCTGTCCCTACAGATGGTTGAAACCCCCTTTATATAGTAGAGGAATTCTATATATGGTACAATTCTAATTACAGAAGGAAATCACATGATTAACTAAACAACCGTTCTTGATTCGACTCGTTCCAAGATTTCTGCCATGATCTTCGACCAGTCGCGGATATCTCGCTTTTTCGTTATTACGCTATCTTCGGTATTGCTCGATGTCTGTCTCGTTTGGTCTCGATTGCTGCCGGCCTCGATCTTGGCAGGTGCTTCGAATCTCAATCTCGGTACCTTGTCTTCGTGCCTCAATCCGATCCACTTCGAAGTCGTCTTTCGATGCAAACTCTCGGTCTCGGTCAAACAACAAAATTGGGTGGGCCCGATTTTAATCGTATAGAGTAGTTTTTATTAAAAGAATTATGTACAGTCAAATCTCTCTATAACAGTCTTATTTATTCCGGACTTTTTTGGTTGTTATATCGAAATAATAATATTATAGAAAACATATATTATGATGAATGATTATTATATATAAAGAAGTCTGTAATTAGTTATTTAAAGTCGTACAATACATTAGATGCGATATTCGTTCTTTAGGAAAAAAAACTAAGGTTCGCACATTAGTCATTAGATTAAGAAAAACAAAAGAAAAAGCATATGAAAAAGAAAGGGCCGACAGAAGAAAAGCAAAGAAATAAAGAAAAAAAAGAGAGAAAGGAAAAGCCATATAACCATGATTAAATCCACCGCATTTTGAACCGTAGACCGCCATTTTGACACGAATTTGTATGCACCAAAGTTGAAAAAGAAGAATGAAAGAGCAAAAAATAAAATAAAATAAAAATGAAAACAAAGAATTCCAAATTCTGTTCATTTTTCCCCCCAACTTCTATTCTTCTTCCAGTTTTAGTAAAGTAACTAAAACAAGAATCATTATTTCATGGCCAAACCCAAGAGAGTGTTCCAGTCTTGGAAAGGGAACAATGTAAGGTTCTTTCTAGTCCATATGTTTATGGTATACATTATAATGCAAACTGTTATGTAGTGTATTCTTTCATTTTCTTTCTAATTAAGCTCATTATTTTTTAAAAATATGACTAATTTGGTGCGCATATATTGTGTTAAAACTCAATGGGTTGGTTTTACTTTGTGGAGCTTGATCTGGATTTTTGTTGCTTTACTTGCTTGTCTTCAACAAGAAAAGAAGATTTGGCTTGTTGGGGGTTGCTGGTTTGAGTTGTACTTTTTTTATAATTCTCGGCATTGCCCGTTTCTCGACTATTGCATCACATACGTGCCATCTCCTACCAGCAGGGGCGGAGCTAGTATGTGGAATACGGGTACGAACCCAATAGCTTTGGTCCAAATTCTTTATTTGTCTTAAGAAATCCATTAAATATGTAATAATTAATTAATTTAGACACCATTAACTTAAAGGAACTACAATTTCGAACTCATAAATTTCAAATTCTAGCTCCGCATTTGTCTAACTATATGGTAACTTTGACAACCAAAGTTTAGGCATTTGGGAAGAAATCACCTAGCTTATTTTGCTTCTACTCAGATTTGAACGCGAGACCTCATAGTTCTCATCTACTATTAGGACACACCCTTGGGTGCTGGGTTGAGTTGTATTAGTTCTTTATTTCTTTTGAGCTTAAGATTATGCAAATTGGAGAGAGTATACTTGATTTTTTTTGTAGTAAGCTAATGGGTTTTTAGGGATATGAGTATTTGATGTGCATACATTGTGTTTGCCTTTTTATCTACTTTAATTTGGAAGAATTTAAACTGGGTTTTTGTTGCTTTACTTGCCAGCTTTCAACAAGGAAAAAGATTTTGTCTTGTTGGGTTGCTGGATTTAGTTGTATTAGTTGATTATTTTGTTTGAGCTTAAGGATCATGTATGCCTTAATATAAAGTATCCTTTAATTTTTTTAAGTAGCTAATGGTTTCTGAAGGGTATTGTTAATTGGCTGTCCTTATATTGTGCTTAAAGTCTATAATTTGGTTTACTTAAGCGGAATTTGACCTGGGTTTTTTTTCGCTTTAATCACCGGTCTTGGACAAGATATGAAAATTTGGTCTTTTGGATTGCTGGATTAGTTGTATTGGGTTTATCACATGTTTGAGCTTAAGGATTTTGGCGTCTTACATATTGTTTCTTGCTTGTTGATGGGATGATGATGTATTAGTAGTAATGCTATCGTTTCAGTTAGTTATTTAGGTTTATTGTTTTAATGAACAATTTGACACTGTCGTGGATTTTCTACGCATAGGTGAACTGCAATCGCACATGGTAACCTTGACTAGGTATCAATTACCGAAATTATGTTAACCTTGACTTAATTTGAATATTGAATGGGTGTGGTTTTGAAGTCAAAAGAACTAAAACTAGAAACAACAACACAAAGTAAATGTTTAGAACCTTTTTACCTTATCAAAAAAAAAAAAGGTAAATGTTTAGAACCTATCATGGAAAACTTAAGGCAGTCGGCTTCACCAATGCTTCACTTGGCACTCACTAGTTTGTTGATGTTATTATTTGGCATGAGATGCCATTATAGGATTTATTCTTCTCTGATGTTGTGTTGGCATTTAACTTTTGTTTTTGGGTAATGTTTGTAATCTGCAGAAATTCTTATTTGATGGGAGGCTGATATTCGGACCAGATGCTAAGTCACTGATCGTCACCTTTACGCTTATCCTTGTCCCTGTTGTTACATTTTGCGTATTTGTTGCAAGAAATCTTGTTCACGAATTCTCAACAGGAAGTACAGGATATGCAATTATGGTCTTAGCAATTGTCTTCACAATCTATGTTAGTTCACTTCCCTTTATTTGGCCTGTAATATCCTATAGTTTGTGGGGCAAAGTTTGGCTAAATACTTCATTTCCTTCTTACTTTCTGCGCAGATATTGTTAAACTGTGTGACCATCACACTTTAAATTACTTAATTATATTATATCTAAACTTGTTGTTGCTTTCGTTTCGGCTTTCTGATTACAGTACCTAATGTTAGTTTTGTATTTTCACTTCGGTTTTCCGAGTGGTATGCTTGTTGTTGTCCTTCTTTTACCTTTCCTGAGCCGTGTGTCTACCGGAAACAGCCTCTCTGTCTTCTTGAAGGTAGGGGTAAAGTCTGCGTGCACTCTATCCTCTCCAGACCTCACTAGTGGGACTACACTGGGTTGTTGTTGTTGTTGTTGTATATTATATCTAAACACACACCCTCATGTCTGGGCCAGATTCTTTTTCATGGACCAAACATGTGGAAATATTTCTTTTTGTTTTTTTAGGTGGTGGTGAGATTTAACACAAAACCTCTTGCCTACTCCGATACCATGTTGAACTGTGTGACATCTCATCTAAAAGCTTAAGCTTTTACAAAGAACAAACACTTTAGTTAGTACATTTGTAGCTGCAGTCCCCTAGTGCCATTGTGCTTTCTTCTGTTGTTTTATTAGTAATTCATAGTCTTGACATCGTGCTGGCAATAGGTCTTCTTGCTTCTATTTGCAACATCAACTAAGGATCCTGGCGTTGTTCCACGTAATTCTCATCCTCCAGAGGAAGTGTTAGGTTATGATTCTTCAGCTTCCAATGAAGCTGGTGGGAAACCTTTGCCTCGCACCAAACAAATCCTAGTCAATGGTCTGCCGGTGAGAGTTAAATATTGTGAAACATGCATGTTGTATCGTCCACCAAGATGCTCTCATTGCTCAGTATGTGATAACTGTGTGGAGCGGTTTGATCACCATTGCCCTTGGGTGGGTCAATGCATTGGAAAGGTAATGGATCTTCCTTCTTTACAGCTATTCTTTTCTTAAGGTTCTTTTGTGATTCCACTTTTTATTCCTTTTCTTTTTAAAACTACTTTTATGGTTTCTTAAGGAGAAAAATGTAGTACGCTTTCGCTGTTTGTTTTGTATCAGTTGTTTACGTGGTTGTAAATGAAAGGTCTATGAGATAGAACTTCACCTTTCTACTTTTAGCTGCTCCTTCACTGCCTCTTGAGACTCGTTTGTTTCTTTTTTGGTGTACAGCGCAACTATCGTTGCTTCTTCCTATTTGTTTCTTCAACTGCTCTCCTCTGTATTTACGTCTTTTCCATGTCGGCATTGTATCTTAAGCTTCTTGTGGATGATTATGGAACTATTTGGAAGGCTATTAAAGTATCGCCTGCATCAGTGGCACTGATGGCGTATTGTTTTGTTTCGCTGTGGTTTGTTGGGGGTCTCACTGGCTTCCATTTGTATCTCATATGTCGAAATCAGGTTAGTCTTTTACACCTCTTATGTCAATATATAATTTAGTTCTGATTTGCTTTAGTGTACAACAATAATTAACTTTTCATAAGATTAAATTTTTTGAGGCTGTCGATTGCAGATCAGAAAATTAATTTCATATCAATGTGCTCTTTTTCTTTCCTTTTTTCCTATTCGTGATTTTGATTTGTTTCCTATAGACCACATATGAGAACTTTCGTCATAGAGGACTAAGAGGAGATAACAGGATCAATGTGTATGACCGGGGTTGCACGAACAATTTTCTTGAAGTATTCTGCTCGAGGATAGAACCTTCGAAAAACAATTTCCGCGGATATGTACATGAAGAGGCATTAAAGTCTAGCAAGGTAGGAAACATTCAAGTAACAGAAGTTGATACCTCTGATGGGGATAGAAGAGTCAAGGTAGAAGAAGATCTTGAGATTGGAGAAGATCTCATGAAGATATCCCAACGACGTAACTCTCAAGACATTGGAGATATTCGAGGTAGAGGAAGCGACAGGTCACCTATAAGTCGTTCTGAGCTTGACTTTGGATTTGGTCTGGAGTCACAGTTTTCGTCCAGATCAGAGAGTCGCCATTCTGGCTGGTGAAGCAGAAGTGACGGGAACTGAACCGATATTAACATCATGTCAAAGCCAAATCTACTGCAATGATTTTGCAGTCACAGTTCCGAGATTTGAAATGTGATACATTTAGGTGGCTAGCCATCAAAATGCATCTTGAGTGCTACCTGTTTTCGTGGACGAGAGCAGGCACAGAACAGCTTTGTCACAAAACACAGATAATCTGTTGACTTCGATAATATTTTTGCTGGTTATTATTTCTTGAAAGAACTAGGAACATATGTCAAAGGCATTTGAAAATGTATACATGTAACCATTCTTTTCCTGTTACCCTTCTTCCTATATGTGTTATAACTGTGAAATTTAGCACTGGCTCTGCCTTTAATGTCACAAATTGATGATGTGCGGCCTGCTTCAAGCCAAATATTATTGACTTGTGTCTAACTTAAGTAATACAAGTATGGCACTTTGTGCGAATTATTCGAAATACACGCGCTAATTTCATGATGTTTTAGTAAGTAGAATTATCAAATGTTTATGTCGATAGAAAGTAACAAGTGTTTTATGGATTAATTGTGTTAGGCAAACTGATCTTGTTCCACCATTGTTAAAAACTATATAATATCTATATTTGATAATTAGACGCCGCACTAATTTGCACATAATTGAAAAAAAGTCTTTATAATATTATTTTCTTTAATTTATTTTTTATTTTGTGCCTCATACAACTAACACAAAATGTATGAGTATTGTCTTTGTTTGACAAGTGAATTTTAATTCATAATTTTCATTGTCGAGGGTTTATTAGAAATAGCCTTTTTACTAGATAAGAGTAACGTCTGCACACACGCTTCATTCCCATAACTCACTGTGTTGGATTTCATTGTGTTTGTTATTGTTATTTTCGTAATTTCCACTTGTCAAACATAAACAAATTCTCTCACTAACTTTGTCTCTCAATTGTATAAGACACAAAGATTTAAAAGAAATTAAAAAAATAAAATATTAATTACATCCTAGCCCCTTCGACAAGTAAACGAGATTGAAAGAAAGGAGAAAGATACTAAACACAAAGAAAAAGAAGCATAAAGACTCAAAAGAGTAAAATAGACCGTCTTCAACACTCGATACTCTCTTTCTCACTCTCTTAGGGTTCTGCAACGATCTCAATCAAGTACCCGAACTCGAATTCAAAAATGGTAATCCTCTATTCTGCACTTAAATTCCTCAATTTCTCTACTCGATTTCAGATCTTATTTTGTCACATTGAGTGTAATTTTATTGCTCAATTTTCAGGAAGGTGATGGGAAATTGGAAGCGCAAATAGAGGCACTGTTGAATGTAGAGAAGCAAATGAGACAAGCTGGCGATGTTGCGGGTACGAGGAAAGCGGCCACCGATATTCTTCAGCTCTGCTTTGAAGCTCGCGCTTGGACAATACTTAATGAGCAGATTGTTCTCTTGTCTAAGCGTCGTGGTCAATTGAAACAGGTAAATTATTACTCTCTTCGTTCTAATTTAGATCATGTTGATTGACTGGGCTCGGAGTTTAAGAAGAAAAAGAAAAAGAAAAACTTTTGATGATTAGTATAATGAAAGCACCTGTTTATTCTCTCTTTTTAAACTTCGAAGCTAATCAATTATTGTACTAGATGGTTTGACGGCTTTTGTTTGTATCCTTGTTGTTTTCAGGTAATATTTTGTGCTGAAATTTTGTATGAGTTTAGTTTCATTCATTAGAGACAAAGACATCAAGTGGAAGTGAATTAAAGCTCAATAAAGCAGCAGTGAAACAGAGAAACATAAAGTATGAATAGAATACAAAATATGGAAAATACAATCTGGGAGACCATACTATGTAAATATAAAGATTTTCTGAAGAAGTGTTAGTAAGACCCCACCGCTAATATCAATTTATCTAACACATTAAGTAATATTTAATATATAAATATATAAAATAAACAAGTTATTCATATAAATAATAATAAATAAGACGAATAAATGAGTTCTTTTTGATTCTGCATCTTCACGTGACTCAATTAATCCTCTAGAATTTCGAAGCTATCTTTTCCATGGTGCCCAAAGATTTTTATAGCAGAGGGATTGATTGTGGTATGCAGTGATTATGGTCTCCGATGTAGACTTCTTTAGTAAAATTTGGGTTGCACCTTATTGGTGCTTTCTAATGTTTGTTCACTTACCTTCAGAAATAATCAATAAAAGTCATATGCATTTGGGGGGAGGAAGAGAGGATCTTCCTTTTATATAATTCACTCATCATCTGCATGAGTTCATGTGTAATGTGGCTACATGTATAGGTATTTGGATGCTTGGGTTGTGCTTGGCTACTACCATGGTACAATTGAATATATGCTCCTACTCCATTGCTTTAGGAAGTACTTATCTAGGTAGGCTTTTTCTTTACATAGCATATTGTGTGTAGAACTATCAACTGTTAATAGAAAATTGTGAAGGCATATCGTGTGTAGGATGATCTTATGGATTTGTTTTTCCTACTAAAACTGCATGGTGATTTTGTATAGTGGTTTCTTTGGACTTGTGCAGGCAGTACAGGCTATGGTCCAACAAGCGATGCAATATATTGACCAGACACCAGATCTTGATACTAAGATAGAACTCATCAAGACCCTGAACAATGTGTCTGCAGGAAAGGTAAGTCTTTTTCATTTAGAACACTTCAGTTACCTTTTTTCTTTCTCTCTCACTGAGGAACTTTGATCTTGCATGTAGATATATGTTGAAATTGAGAGAGCACGATTGATTAAGAAACTTGCGAAGATTAAAGAAGACCAAAAACTCATAGATGACGCTGCCGATTTGATGCAAGAAGTGGCGGTCAGTATTTGTTGACCTTCTCCTTGGTGACTTCTAGCTCTTTTTGCTTCTAGTAATCAGTATTAAATTGAACAGAACAGTCCCTTTTTTCCTTCTGAAAGAAGCCTTTTGGATTAGTTACTTGCAATGTTAACCATCTCTGGGTGTATTGGCTGACAGGTTGAAACTTTTGGGGCAATGGCAAAAACAGAGAAGATAGCTTTTATTCTTGAACAAGTATGTCTTGCTAATCCTTTACTTTCTAGTGAAAACTGAAGCGTGGCTTTGGGCTAATTATCTAATGCTGAACTCTGCAGGTGCGTCTCTGTTTAGATCGTAAAGATTATGTTCGTGCACAAATACTCTCTAGAAAGATCAATCCCAAAGTGTTTGAAGCTGATCCTTCCAAAGAAAAGAAGAAACCAAAAGAAGGTGAAAATGTGGTCGAAGAGCCTGCACCAGATATTCCATCACTGTTAGAGTTGAAGCGAATCTACTATGAATTAATGATTAGGTCCGTGGATTATGCTTCTTCACTGATTGTACCTCAAGTTATTTTATCTTACTTTTCAAGTTCATGTTCATTTTACAATTGAATGTGGTTAAAATGTGCATTCTCGTGAAACATTCTGGTTGTGCACATTTTGCATCTTATTGGGTTTGTCTTTTAAATGAATTTGAACTACTTGTGCTTCTTTTAGTTAATCATCCTTATGGTGGCAGGCATTTGGCAATGATACTGAGTAGAACTTACTGCTGTTATCAACTGTTCTGTGCTACTAAAAGGATGCTTATTTAGCCTGCTTATACACGAAAGTCTTGGATTTTCCACCAAAGAGATAATATTCATACTTGTGATATCACGCTTACCTGATACCAGATCTGTGTATCTGAGCTATAGTTTTCCTTTGTTGTCTTTCGAGATTGGTTTTTGTAATGAATGGACTTTCAATACCAGTAATGAAATGATCCGTTTGAAAAATGTCTCATTACCGATCCCAGCTAGTTTGGGATGGAAGTGTAGTTGGTTGAGATATTGATTGAACTCAATGTAAGATTGCATTGGGACTTGAATGCTTAGTTGTTAGAAGGTCAATTATAGTTTCTTCTATACTCGCTTTTTCCTTCCAAAAAGTTTGTCATTGGATTTTGAATGCTAGACAGTTGTTATGTGGACTCTAACATCCTTTTTAGCAGTGGCGAATAATTATTTTGCGTATGCTAAAACAATATTTATAGTAGGGTCTCTCTTTCTTCTCCCTCCCCCCCACCATTTTGCTGCTTTGCATGCGCGTGATTGTGCACAAGCTGCATATGGTTGTAACATACTTAATGGAAATTATAATCTATAGAGGTCTTCAGCAGTTCTATCTACCTATATGGCCTAGTTAAGATCATGTAGTCTCTTTACTACAATTCAGGCACTTGAGTTGCTTACTCGGGTTTGAAGTGGGAAATTCCTTTTAAAATCAAAGTCATGCTTCTTATCGCAGACCATATCACTCCCTTACCGGAGTTTCATGCTTGAGCGGGGACCACTTCCCCGCCAGAATCTGAATTAATTAAGAGTCTTGATCCATGCTAACCTGAAGGGAAACCTCTCAATCCAGAGAAAGATTGACTATATTGTGAGAAGATAGAAAGTGGCCAAGAGCGAACTATACTACATGAGAATAGTATAAGCTGTTGTATCTGCCATTGTGACCTAGATAAGATAATGCTCTTTTAAAGCTCAGGCACCTGTATTTGAATTGGGAAATTCCATTAAAACTTGAGTCATGCGTCGCATCATAGACTTAAGTCCATGCTCTTCAGCGAAGAGTTTTATGTTCGAGTGGTGCCCACTGTGGCCAGCACTTGATTGCAGTTTGCACCTGATTTTCTTTGATTTATAGGTTTTGTCGATTCTAGAGCCTGAAAGAACTCACTTAGTTATGTACTATAAGATTACTGTAAACACTTCTAGGAAAATGGGAGATGGAGTTGTTGCATCTGGAACCTTGCTTTGCATTTGTTTCGTCTTAAACTTGTCACTTGTCAGTCATTCTTTTATCCTGTGCTGCAGGTATTACTTTCATAGCAATGATTACCTTGAGATATGTCGCTGTTACAAGGCCATATATGAGATCCCTTCTGTAAAGCAAGACCCAGAACAGTGGATACCAGTAAGTCTAGCTCATTTATATTGTTGGATGCTAGTTATAGTACACGGTGTAATGCATGTGCAGTGTTGCGTTCCTGAATAGGAGATCTTAACTAGAGAATTAATCTATAATATCAACGTTCGTGCAACAGTTACCGTCATTTACAATACTAATTCCAATTGGAACATTGGTGTCACAAGTAAAAGATGGTGTTGAATATTATAGTATTTACTCGATAGAGCTTCTTTTTNGATACTAATGAGTTGAGAAAGTGCAGGTAGTCTTTTTCCTTTTGATCTAAGGAAGAAAGAGTAGAAATCCTTCTCATTTGTGAGGAAGAAAATCACATGGTAAAAAGTAATAAAAACTAAAAAGAATAGAACACTATTATATGCTTGCTCAAGTCCATCCCTTTGTGATTAATAGCATGTTTGGCCAAGCAGGAGA